TTTCTTCTTCTTCTCTCTCCTTCCCTATACTGACAACTAAGAGACTTTAATAAGAAATCGGAAAAATCCGCTTTGACATCAATAGGCAATTAAGCTGAAAATAAAACAAAATGCCAAAGGGATAATAAAGATTTCTGGACATTAAAAATTTTCTTTTTCATAAGCAGGAAGGGAGAGAAAAAGAATAAGGGCAGGATCTGGAAGAGGGAGGAGACTGCCTGGAATTAAAAAGAATCTACAGTAAAACTTCAACAAGACTTCTAAAAGATACATTTTAACTGAAACTTTGTAACTAAACAGTAACCCCAAGAAGAGAAAGTGTTTTTTTGTAATGCCTGTACTAATCTTTCTCACGTCTCTCCAAAGTTCTGCCTCTCACAACCTTCTTTCCCATCTGCCTTCTCCAAGCCCTGAACCTGAGCCCCTTGTTTCATCCCCACGTTGTATGAAATGAGAATTCTTTGCTCTAAGCACAGTAGAAGATAGCCCCTTCTTCTTGAGTGTCCTCATTTCAGAACGCTAGTCTGGGACACTTAGATTAATAAGTAGGTGTCATGATCTAGATCAGGAAGATAAACTTTCACACGGCATTAAGGTTAAAGAGAGCAGATATCTAGAACACTTATTTAGAACTGATTTTGACCTTTCTTTCTTTCCCCTTTAATTCCCTGATGACAATGGATGCTTCTATTTTTGCAATCAGTTCATTTTCATTCTTTCCCATTGGAGACTAAGTAAGAGAAGTACATTGAAGATGATATTATCATGATATGGTTCTTGTCATAAAAGATTTTTTGAAAAAGAAAAAAAGCCAAATGCTTTTACCAGCCCTGAGGGGGAAGAGACTGATTAATACTATGTAATGAAGGCCATTTCACGGCTTATAGTTTTCTCCAAAATAAATCCAGGAAAAATAAGGACCTCATATTAAAACTTTTGCTTTATTTTAATAAAAAGAGGTACAGGGTGGGGTACTGAATGTGGGGAGCAAATCTATTTGCATAAATGAATGCACATGTTTCTAACCTTTCAACCTTTTAAAATTTTCTTTATAAAATAATTCTAGTTATATCCTGTGGTTTTCTGTAGTTTGATTAATATAAATGAAATCTAATTTATACTTGAGATGTGATAATATAATTCACTAGAAATAAAGTATATACCAATAGCTAACTTAAAATTTCAATGAAAAGCGAAAATACAGCCTTCCCAAAATTTGAATACAGGTGTTCCTTGGGTTTATGACCACTTTTTCAGTGACTGTTCAAATTTGTGATGGGGATAATTATAACCAGTCCTTGAGTTTTGGCTGTCACAGTGTCCCTACAATCACATGATCCAGACACTCAGTGCCTGCCTTCAATTATGATGTCACAGCATGTCATAGCAAGTCATCTTTGATTTCCAACATTCACTGCAGCCAAAGGGAAAGACAGCAAGAACTTGGAAATTGCAATCACATGAGGTCCTTGCTTAATGACACATGCAGTCCTTGCCTAACAGCAGCAATTGGGACTGCAGGAACTGTGGTCACTGAGTGGTGCAATCATGTGATGTCATGCTTTACAATCAATATCGTAAATCAAGGACTACCTGTACCCTTGCAACCTTCATAATCAATACATGCATATGTTTTGTATTTATTTACTGAAACTGTAATGAGAAGCAAGCAAAACCACAATTATCAGATACAGGACAGATAGGTATGAGTAGATACATTTACATATGAATACCTCTTCCAACACCAAAACATTCATCTTCTTAGTGATTAGCAAGTTATAGGACCTCCCCTCCCTCATATAAAAGGTACCAAGGGGATGTAGCATATCTCAAGAAACCAATGACCTTTGAAACATCAGCTGGTACTTGTTGCAGCCAATGGTAAGCTTTGGGATTGTCATAGAATAACAGAGTTGGAAGGGACCTTGGAGGTCTTCTAATCCTGCTCAAATAGGAGACCCTTTACCATTTCAGAAAATGACTGTCCAGTCTCTTCTTAAAAGCCTCCAGTGATGGAGCATGCACAATTTCTGAAGGCAAGCCATTTAACTGGTTAATTGTTTTCCCCATTAGGACATTTCTCCTTAGTTTCAGATTGCTTCTCGCCTTAGTTTCCATCCATTATTTCTTGTCTTGCCTTCTGGTGCTTTGCAAAATAGGTTGACCTCCCTCATCTTTGTGGCAGCCCCTGAAATACTGAAACACTTCTATCATTCTCCCCTAATCATTCTATAGGGGGAGGCTAAAGAATAGACTAGACATAGCTAATTCCTGCAACTGTTCTTCATATGTTCTAGCCTCCGGTCCTCTAAGCATTCTTGTTGACCTTCTCTGCACTCTTTTAGAATCTCAACATCTTTTTTACATTGTGGTACCAAAATTGAATGCAATATTCCAAGTGTGGTCTTACTAAGGCTTTATAAAGCAGTATTAATACTTCACGTGATATTGATTCCAACCCTCTATTAATGCAGTTTAGGATTGTGTTGGCAATCTAACAAGAAATTCTAACAAGAAATCTCCCCCACCCCCAAATAAAATCTGATTTAGATAGGTTCCTTTATTCTGACAACACCAACTTGTTTGTGTTTATTTGTCTAGTGATGTTTAGTTCAGTGTATTAAAGTATCTCTCAGTGACTTTGGTACATTTTCAGTAAAATACCAGTAGAAACTAAATACTGTTTGGGGCTCACCTCTTTAAGATATGAGAATCAGGGCCTTCTGGGTGCTTCCAATTGGCTCCTTTAACTGGTAGCCACCAAGGAGCAATTGCAACCTAAAAAACAGGCAAAGAAAATATTGGCGTTCTTCTGAAGGCCTACCCATCCAGCTAATTATATCAGGCAGCTGCCATTAGCAATAAGAAAACAGAGACAAGACACATATGACTCAGTGCTTTCAGTGATGGTATTTGAATGATCATATGTCCATTTAAATAAACATTTGCTGTATATCCAGGTTTTTGTCAGTGTAAGCAATTTAACCAAAATCAACTAAAATGACCACCAACCCCCCACTTCAAATTAACCATAGTTTCAATGTTATCCAAATTAGGAAAGGGTAATTATTTGCTTCGGAAAAAGCCAGTATCTTAACATAATTTCAAACAGTAGTTCAAATCTTTCATAGATGAAATTCAGCTTTCCAATTTAGAATCAGTTATGAAATCAATTTCTTTATGCTATTTGATATCAGTGATTATATCTTTACAGGTTGTTCTTGAGTTACAATCATTAGCTTAGCAAATGTTCAAAATTAAAAGTGCACTGGAAAAAGTGACTTATAACCAGTCCTCACTGGTATGACTGTTGCAGCATCCCCCCAGTCACGTGATCAAAATTTGGGGCACTTGGCAAACAGCATGTATTTAGAATGGCTGCAGTATTCCAAAGTCATGTGATGACCATTTGCAACCTTCCCAGCCAGCTTTCAACAAGCAAAGTCAGTGGAGACTGACTCTGAGGGAGAGGAAGAACAGGGAGTGGAAGTGTGGCTCTGAGGTTGTGGAGGAGGCTAGGGAAGGGCAGAGGCCAGCTGAGCAGTCAGAGGAGAACCCAGGCCCATCCCCTATCCACCCTAGGGCACACAGGGAGGAAAGGATAAGGGAGAGACATGGTCTACTTGGGAGGAGAGCGCCTTGATCCTCTTCATGGGCTTCAGGTGTGAGAACTGCATAAGAGTTTGGACCTGCGTTCTGGCAAACGCTGGAGACAAATCATGTTTTATTTTGGTTTGAGGTTATCTTGGTTGGCATCCTTCCAACAGACTGTGCCTTGTTATCTCCTTGAAATATTTATTTAAATATTTCTCCTGTTCAGTTGTGGAAATTTCATCATTGTAGTTTGTTTGGTTTTTATTTTCACCTCTATCTGCTCATTAAATTTGGACTGTATTGCTTTCTTTTGAAGACTATTTTTGAGTATGTTTTATCTCCAACTGATAATTATTGAACAGTGGAGCCAAGTTGGAGGCATTAAAGGACATTTATTTACATTTTGGATTTTATTATGTTTGTGTTACACTCTGGGACATCACAGTCAATGGGGAAGCAGGATTTCCTGGATAATGACCACGTGATTCACCTGCAGTGATTTGTTAACAACTGTGCCAAAAAAAGATCACAAAATTGGGTGTGACTCACTTAACAATCATCTTGCTTAGCAATAGACATTCCGGTCCCAATTGTGGTTGTAAGTCAATTGTGGACTACCTGTATGTTTTCTCACTAGTTTCTGTTGTGCCTACTGTGGTTAATGAGCATGGAGGTTCATGACCAAGTACCATAATCTAATAATCATTCATTTGGGAGCTTCCAAAATCAGTAATAGAGCATCTGAAGAAAACCATGTTCAGCACCAATGTGCATAGACACATATTCTAACTATTGTATATCAGCTTCAATTATCCTACAATTATCCTATCCTTTATGTGGACTGTCTGCTTGGGACTTGATAATATTAAGCAATCACAACAAAGACTTCAAAATGCAACAGTGTGGTTTCTTAGTTATTCAAAAACCACTCTGGTATTCAAAGAAAGATATGTTATTGGCATTAACATTTCAAGATTTTCTCTTCAGCTATGAAGGTTCAAAAACTGTATTAATTTTAAATAAGTAAATATCATAATTCTTTGGATCATCAGTTCCAAAGATCACAGGAAGAGAATATGATGTACTGTTTATACTCTGTGCTGCAATATAGAGAACTGGATATAATTTACTGTAAATAATAAAATCCTCACATAATCTATCCAAATGATTAATAGAAACCTGCTTCTAAACTTGCTTCTTGCTAAAGTGACTGTTATTTATTGACATCATCTATGTTTCAAGTTGCTTGTTCGAAAAATAAGATAAATGCTTAAATGTATACCTCTCAATTTTTTTTTCAAGAATGCTGAAAAGCTTTTAATTAGATTTTGTGCTAATTAGGGAAAAGATTAAAAACAAGATTATGTAACACACAACCCTTCTCTTACAATCAAGGAACTTAATTGCTTTTCTAATGCACAGCATTTTTAAAAGTCTCATGGTGTTACCTAAGAGCATACAGATGAGCTGAAAATTAACTTAAGCAGCATTATACATAGATAGAAAAAAAAATACTTATTTATGACATTTACTCCCTGTCTTCCACTCCAAAATGAAACCAGCTAGCCTTTCCCTACCACCGGTGAAATCTAGAATTTACTTCATGTAAGTTAAATACCCATTTGTGCAATTAATGACTTATATCAAGTGCTTGATGACCATATTTGAGAGATTGAATATATTCTTTAGCAATTGCCTTGATCCCTGATTTAACAAAAAAAAAAAAAGCAGACCTGTGTACTAATTTTTCAAGATCATGTATCTTAGTAGCTGTACAGACATCAGAATTATCAGAATTGATCGATCTCTGAGGCCCTTGGTGCTCTCTGACCTTGGTGGTTTTCTTGCAGACATTGCACTACCCAAACTAGGTAACATCATCAGTGCTAGACTAGCATTAATGATGTTAACTAGTTTGGGTAATGAAACATCTGCAAGAAAAGTTCAGAGAGCACCAAGGACCCCTCCTTTCAACACCAAGCTACAAATATTCTCCTTTATTGATAGATCATATTTTATTTATTGATAGATAAATAAAATTTATTTATTTATTGATAGACCTTTGACATAATCCCATTATTTTTATTATCATTAAATCTTTAGCCAAACACAAAGCAGGGCGAACTCAAACTCTGCCAAGCATGTGTGTTTTTCATTAGCCACACAGAATCCAAATTTACTCTTTGGAAGAGTTACCAGATTTGGGCTGCAGAAATTCAGGTGACCAGAAGTTGACAGGTTACTGTTTTCTATATCTCTTTTCTGGCATCTACTAGATTCCTAAAACAAAGATCTGATACAGATATAATCTTTATAGAATGTTCACTTAGCACTTTCAAATTGAGAAGCAGAACTGTAGAAGTTCATTCAAGTTTTTGATTTCACTTTTGGCCTTCCCAAGTTTCACTAGGAAAGATTCCTGTTTGAACAACTGAATAGCTATATGGTCAAGTATCTGCTGTTATCAAGCAATCTTCCCTGTTGCTTTTTTAGAACATGAGATCCTTTTCCTGACATAATATAAAGTTGTCAAATAGACAAAATACAGTTGATGTTGCCTCCTCAATTTATTGTAAGTCCAACCAAAAGGAGAGATAAAAGGTATTGCTTTCTATAAAGTCAGAGATTCATCTAGCTAGCCTGTTAACTGTGGATTTTCTGGAGGAAAAAGAATTGGAAACAGCTGCATGCAAAGCATCTGCATGATTTCAAAGCTATTATTCCCTCTCCAAATTCCAAAGCATTGCAATTGCCTAAGCATAGGCTAAAACAAATAACATAGGACCCTTTATACACCCCAATGTAAGAATCACCAAGAATACCAAAGAACCCAGCAAATCTTTTTCATTGTAACAGATGCCTTTCAAATATACATTCCCCGTCATCACTACCACTGGCAACTTTTAAAAATAATTACAAGCTATCTAATGCAAATCATTTGACGGCAGAATACTCTGATCATCATGGACAGAGAAGTTAACCAGTCTTGAAAGTAACATATACATCCTCAAAGAAAATGTTTACTAATATATGGGAGTTGTCATGGTTCCAACCAAGCCAGCAAAAGAAAAGGCCACACTGTGAGCAGAACAGGTCTTTACTGGAGTCTCAGCTTGGCATGTGATGAACGATACAAGTAAACAGGTTTCTATCCAGCTTTACTGGCTTCTGCTAGCAAGTTGGCTATATGGACTCAGCATGCTCCACCCTCCTGTTCCTGGTTGCTCCCAGCTGGCCTGCAGCAATTACTCTTGCTGCAGCCCTGTTGCTCCTTGGCTGGCTCCAGCAAGTACTTTTTTGGCCCGGCTCCAGCAAGTACTCTTCAGGCCTGGATGGCTTCTAAACTGATCACAGCTGGCTCCTTTCCCAGCATGAGCCCCATCACTGACATCCATCTGTGGCCCCATGCATCTCCTTCCCCCTGTGCGTGTGTAACAATTCCAAAATGTGCCTTGTGGCCACTTTGAACAGTGCGCTGTCTCAGACTTTGACAGGAGTATTAGGACAGCCAGGAAGTCATGTCAATCCCAAGGACTGGATGTATCACTCAGCAATACAATAAAGGCAGTGATCCACATTAGCTGTGTTTTTATGCCTCCCAGATTACATTTCAGGGCTGAAATTTAGCATTAAAAATACACTCTGATACTCAAGGTAGTTCTTGGCATACTTTTGTATCATTTGATTCTTTGCATTTTAACTGATTTATGGTTTATTAAAGGGCCCAAGATCAAATCTTGGAGGAAAACTCTTGCATATTTGCCAATGTATTTTAATCATATATTTCAAACATAGAAAATTGTTGTTGGCATCAATATAACTAAATGACATTCTTGAGGACAGCTGCATCACTAAACACTGCAAGGAACTCTTAGCATTAATAAGGTATCATTGATAAGGTATTAGGACATTATCTAGGTTCCCTTAAAATCTTAGAGTTTTTTTTTAATTTCCATGGCTTTGCACATAAGTAACTTGCTCTTCCATTAAGCAAAACAAAAAGTTACATGGTAAAAAGTGCCACCTATACTGGGAAATAAAAGTTGAGAGGAATGGAGGTAGAAAGATTCACAAAATGTAGCATTAAACAATAGCTTGCAAGTATGTACGGAAGACAAACTCATGTGATGATGCTAACCATGTTCTTCTTACACTGAGAACTGTCTGCCTCTCACCTTTCCCTT